ACAATCCAATCACCTCTTCAAGGCTCCACCTTTCAATTACCATGATAGGATTTCCCACCCTTTTAACAGTCACAGTGGGGCTAAGTTTCTAATACATAAAACTTGGCAGACAATTCAAGCCTCAGTGAGTTTTGGGGGGGGACATAATTCAATCCACTAGAGAGCATATTGGTTCAAAGTCAGCAATCATGACTGAGAGGATCCTACCTCTCCCTGGTTTTAAAAAACCAAGTCATATGAGAGCATTGAAGGAATATTTAAATAAACACCGTGATCCCATCTCTCAGACAGTAGGCCCCCCCCGCCCCCCCCACTGGCTCTTTTCTCTTTAGCTGCTCACATGCCTGTTCTTCTGTACAATTAAATACCATTTTGCACTCTTCACTTGTCAGCCCTTAGTAAATCAACGGCAGGTTTGTGTCTTGCTTTTCTTTCACTCAGTAGAACATCAACGTGTGTGAGCTTTCGTAGCCAACATCTTAGTGGCTGCTTAATTCTTCACTGGCTGGCACACTCTGTCCGGATGCCCCTTCCTCCCCACTGGGGGACACGGTGTGAAGTGGACTTGGCTGCTGGCCAGGCTGTACCCAGGCATGACCCATTCTCCGAGTGACAATGTCTCAGGGATCTGAGGGGCCAGAATATGGACTGTCTTCAGTGCCGAGCTGAGGACTTTGACCTTCCTGCCTGCCATTGTGGGAGTGATCACTGGCCGGCTCTTTCCCAGAGGGGCTAGTCTGCATGCATTTCTGAGGCCACTCAGGGAGCTAGGGGAGGACGAAACCTAGGGCAGGGAAACAAGTCAGAAGATTGCGTGCCTGGTGATTCATGATGGTGTGCAGAAACGCTTCTTCTGATCCCGGAGCCAGAAAACGATCTCAAAGAACCAGGGGTCTTTTCCCTCTGAACCCATGAATGAGACGAAATCCCATTGCTCAGTGAATGGAAATCAACTCTAGGCTGCTGCTGCTTCCTGAGTGACCACATGGCTTGCACTGGAATTAGGGTTTATTTATTTTTTTTGGCAGCTGGCTGGTAAGGGGATCTGAAATCTTGACCTTGGTGTTATAATAATTAGGATGTATTAAAGAATGTTGGTGTTGACATTTTCTAAATTGAGTAAGTGTGATATCTGTGTGTGAAAATAAACCGAGTTCCGTATCTGGAGGATGTTTGAAGCGCAGACATTGTGACTTTTATATTTTGGTAATGACAAAATTGAGGAAGGACACTTTTTTTCCCCCCTAAAGGGGTGTGTCCACTTTTGACCAATATCTATGGTTTTGTTTACAGATTCCTACTGGAAATCCATTATATGAATCTTATTACAAGCAGGTAAGTTTAACTGATGTCTTTTTATTTTATTTATTTCATTTAATTTTTTTGGTGGGTGGCCAGTAGAGGGACAGAACCCTGGACTTTGCTGTTATCAGCGCCATGCTCTAACCCACTGAGCTAAGCAGCAAGCCTCCCCCTCTTTTTTGGTGGCTGTTTGGTACAGGCATCAGTGATGTCTTTTTAGGCGGAACTAGATAGCAGTCGAACTGGAAAGTGTAATACTGAATTGAAGCCCAGCTGAAGTGGCCTTTTGTCCTTTTCTGCTGGCCAAGTTGTTGACCAGTAGTGGGCGCGAGGGATGCTGCTCTGCCTGCTGCTCTGTGGCTGAAAGGGCTGTCGACTCTTCCCTCCCGTTTCAGGTCGATCCCGCATACACAGGGAGAGTTGGGGCGAGTGAAGCCGCTCTTTTTCTGAAGAAGTCTGGGCTCTCCGATGTTATCCTTGGAAAGGTGAGTGAGGATGAGTAGCGATTTCTCTTCTGTGGCCATCCTTGCAGCTCCCCCCAGCAGGAGAAGGCTGACCTGTGCAGAACCCCTGCAGGGCATGCCTCCTGGGGGTGGCCCGATCACCATGTGCCTCTCAGACTGTAACTGGTGGATCCACATGCTCGGGTGGCAGCCACCACTGCTCATTGGGTAGCAGACAAGACACCTGAATGCTTTTGGGGTCTTGATAGCCTGTGGATTTATGTTGGGGGGTAAGAGTGTAACAAACACCACTGGCTTTTGAGCTGAGTGGACCTGGGGGTTCTCTAGGCCCTGCCACCCACTGGCCATGTGCCCATGGGCAGATCATTCACCTACTCCAAGTTGGCCTCTTCATCTGCAGCCTGGGAAGGGTCACTTTTGCTTTGTGAGACTGTTGGTCTGCAAAACCCACAGCAGACACTGGTGGTGGTGGTGGTGGTTACTAGTTTTGTGAATTCACAGGCAATGATTAGCAATGATACTAATGAACATTTTTGTGTTTCTGCAGATATGGGACTTGGCTGACCCAGAAGGTAAAGGGTTCTTGGACAAACAGGTATATACATACCTATACAGAGCAAGGGGAGGGAGCCAGGGCAGAGCCCCCTCAGGCTGGGGGACCTCTGCACTCACTTCCACATTTCTCTGCTGTCAAGCATTATTAGACAAAAGTTCAGCTCTCAAACTTAAAATGGGCGGTTTTCATTTTGAAATACAGGTCTTTTAAACACTCGGAGCCATCTTTCATGGTTAGTGTACCTTCTAATATTTCGTGACCTTATGCATGATTAAATTGTTTCAGAACTTTTAGACTCTTGTGGAAGTTGCAAAATTAGTTTGGAGGGTTCCTGTATCTCTTTGGCTAGGTTTACCCCACTGATAGCACCGCACGTAACCACAGCACAGGAATCAAGACCAAGAAAGGACATTAGTGCAGTACTAAACTACAGGCCTTAATCAGAGTTGACCAGTTTTACATGCACCCTAGGTTTACCCCACTGATAGCACCGCACGTAACCACAGCACAGGAATCAAGACCAAGAAAGGGACATTAGTGCAGTACTAAACTACAGGCCTTAATCAGAGTTGACCAGTTTTACATGCACCCATTTTGGGGGGTGTGGGGAGTGTGTACAGCTCTATGAAATTTTATCCCTTGCATAGGTTTATGTAACCACCACTGTGATCCGGATACAGAACTCTTGAAACTCTCTTTAAT